AGGCACCCGCCGGAAAAGGGGGAAAAATGGCGGATAGCCTTGCTTGGCGACCCCCGTGAAATGGTCGATTGACCCCAAATGGGGTCACGACCCATAGGTTGAGAACCGCTGTACTAGAGGAACTTAAAAGTAGATTGCTGCGTGAGCAAGCTGCTTTAGTGGTTTACCTGAAGCCTTTTTAATTATCTCAAGAGTTGGAGGTCCCAAACTAATAGAAAAGTGGCCCTTTTGGAAAGCAGGAAATGGCTGAAGGAAGGCTGCTTTAACTGTAACTTTTGCCCATGTGAATGAATAAATGAATGAGGCGGAAGTGCATTGCATGCTGGGAAGGCAAGAGAGTGAGGCACTGCATCTTCATTTGAAACATGTTTCATGTCAAACTGTGATTATCCTCACAGCCATTTTGTGAGGATCTGATCCACTCTCACATTTACCAGTAGAGAATAGATCCCCGATTTAGACTAAATATGTTTAATTGCTCATATGTTAAGTTTTATATGGACAGTTTAAGGGGGCAGTGCTTGTGAAACAGGCCACCTTTCTTTTGGCCTGCTCTTTTGGAGAAGAAAAAAAAGTCACCAATTTTATGTAACCTTAATATCTTACCAAGAATTGGTATTAAATGGTGGGACAGTTTATCACTTTTGACTAATGTAGCAAATCCTGTATTTCATATTGGCTGAGTTGACAGGCATAACTTGTGTTATGGTTTATTCAATCCAAATTTAGATATTAAGTAGTATACATGGCTTAAATATGTATAACATGCTAGTCTAAAACTATGGTTAGCATGATCTCAAGTTCCAGCACATTATTTTTAGTCTATAATAGGGGCCTTTTAGGAATTTGTGTATTCTGGTACATTTTCCTGGAGTGATGATGCATTTAATCTTTTATTAGGTGAATTAAATGGAACTCTAATTCTGTTCATAGCAGCTACTATATTAACAGTTAATTAGAAGTTTTGAGGATAAAATTATTTTTCAGTTTTACACTGTCCGCCTTGCCCTGGTCCTCACTTGAGAGAATGGAGTCAACTCCCTCAGCTTCTTTTAAAAAGTTATTACAGATAACACTTTAGACTACAAAACAACAACTTAAAATTATATAAAGCCATTTTTAATACCCAATGATAATATTAGTTTGCATTGGGGAAACCTTCACAAATAGGTTTTCCAGCATTATGGACTTCTCAAAGGAGTTAGATTTTTGCCTTGATTGTTCACATGTAATCAACTCATTTTCAACTCCTACCTGAGGTAGGACAAGAAGCAATGGCTGGAAGTTTGTCAGAGGAAAATCCAACGTGGAACTAAGGAAGAATTTCCTGACAGTGGGAACAATTAATGCACGGGTGTCAAACTCGATTGCATCATGTGATGTATCGTGACATATTGCGACGTTTTTTGCCTTTGCGGAGCTGGGGTGGGCATGGCCTGCGTGTGACATCCCTGAATTAATGGAACAGCTTGCCTCCCTGAACCGTGGGTACACCAACACGAAGTTTTAAAGAAAAAATTGGACTAACATTTATCCAGGATGGCATAAGGACTCCTGTCTTGGGCAGGGAATTAGATAAGCTCCCTTTCAATCCTCTAATTCTATGATTCCAAAATCAACCCTCCTCATGAACTACCTATATGGAATTAAAAATATTTTAAATGCAACCAAGAATTAATACAGCCTTTGGCATTCACAAGAAAGAAATCAAGGGATAATTGGACTGGCAGGAACTGGGCTGTAAAGACCACGAAGAGACACCACATAATCCTCAAAATGGAAACCTGATGTAAGAGGAACAGTTTAGCAAAGTAGAAATAATCCACTCTGTAGACTCTTCTAGCAACAGAATTACCAATTATTCCAAGAACGCTCATGTTCCTTTTTTTTTTATTTAATGTTTCTCCTTATCCAGGAAAAAGTTTTTAGTCAATTCATGTACATACTCAACATCCAGATACAAAAATTCAATGCACTGAATTTAATGAAGATCTTGCGACATTAGAAATCTTTCAACATAAACAGTTTTGTAAAGTCAGCAGGGGTATTATAGAGTCAAATTTTCACACTTTAATCCAGGTATACAAAGCAGCATTATATAACAGCACAGATGCCCCTATTTGGGCAACAGTGTTTTATAGTGCAATTGTTTTCAGAGGAAACTCCAAAGGCCACTTTTTCCTTTTCAAGTTCATAAATTTAACAAGGGACAAGTACCTAGCCTCTAAATAAAATAAGTTGGTTTCTCAGAGAGGCACTTTTTTTGTTAATAAATTTGGAAGAGGGAAAACAAATCTCAAATTATACTTTTAGCTAATCCCCCCCCCCCCCTCAGGTCTTCAGCATAAGTAAACATTTTCACTTGGAAACGTCTGACACACCAACTGCTGCAAACTTGGGGCTTTAGATTTCTCAATATTGAAGTTTTTGCTTGAAAAGTCTGGAGACTTAGCACTTTTACAATTGTCATGGCTTCTATAAAACACTCAAGGAAAAAAGGCAACAATTGACATTCCTGCTTAGTACAAAAAAAAAGCTGCTGCTGAATAACAATCACAGATCTTGTACCTACATTCAGTGTTATAGTTCTGCCTGGCAAAGTCAATAGGAAGCTGCCTTCTATGACACATCAAATTCTTTTAAACCGGTTTATGGTATTTTACCATTTTTTAATTACAGGTATTAGAGAAGGCTATTTTTTTTAAAAAAGAAAAAAGGCAGTCCAATGACATAAATAATTTCTTTGCTTATTTCAAATTCTTAACGTATTCCAGCAGCCCTAAAAACATGATGGGACATCAAGAATGGGATCCCACTGTCCCTCTTGAGGTAACATGAATATGAGAAGAGAGTTATTTATGCTTTTGAATGTCTGGGCAGCAGCATGCAACAATCTCCAGATTCTTTTTCTTGAAACCTACTGGATTTTTGAAGAGAGAAGGTACCACCCCAACCAAAGTTGGCAAAGAAGAAAGATGGACAGAGCAGCATTCCCTATTTCAACTCCAGAGAAAGCAAACCTGTCGGGGACTGAGAGGCCTTCATGTCTGAGAATCAAAGTTTCTCTAATTCTACTCAGAACATACACCTTGTTCATTTGCATCTGTCGTATAATCATACAGCATAAAAGCACTCCCTCCCCAAAGTTAAGAATTTCTGAATTTTTACTGGAAAAATCGTTCCAAGCTCGGATATGGGGTATTGGGATGCAAATCTAAGACAATTATGAAGTTGCAGTGATTTTGTCAGCTCTTACATCTGTATAATAATTGTTAATGCAACAATCAAGATGTATAGAGATGAACAATTTGAGAATTTTAAAATCCCAAAATATTGGTTAATAAACTAAACCAACCTTTTGTGCACCAGAGACCGGTTCCATGGAGAAAGTTTTTTCCACAGACAGGAGGGGGAGTGGTTTTGCATGCTGCCTGCATCCCAAGCATGGGGCTTTTGCTTATTTGTGTGGCCCAGTTGCTGGCATGCCATGGCCCAGTGCTGGTCCACGGACCAGGAATTGGGGACCCCTAAACTAACACATCTGAAGGTTCCTGGGTAGCTTCAAAACTCACTGATGGTCTGGCCTAATCTCAAATACTACAGGAGTAGACCCCAAGTATATAGTTTACTTCAGAGGTCAGTTTTGTATGTTCCAAAATTCCTACATAGAATATATAAGAATTTCCATATAGAAATCAAGACGTCCTACATCTAGATCTTCAAAGCCCACAATTTATTTAGCATGAAAAATCTTATCAGTAATATAGTGATTCTTACATAATACTTTCTCTTATCTATTTAATATAACTCTACAAATCTTGCAGAAAACCGATTGTGATGTTATCCAATTTCACTAAAATCTTTATTAAAATTGGAGCAAATGCTGTTTTTAGACAATTGCAAGAACAGAGTTGACAACATTTTTACTCTGATGCATGCAGTGTCAAAACTTACAGCAAAAATCAAAAGTACTTTCTAGAAAGAAGATGCAAATTCTGGGACTGAGGCTAATAATGTTTTAGCAGCACAATATTATTTTATTTAACAATATTTCCCAAAATAAGTAAGTGGTTATTGTTGTGAGAGGGTTAATTCAACTATGAATTCTTCCTTGGAAAATGTAGAAAATTCTTTAAAAATGTAAGGTCTTACAAACCTAACTGCTCTATTCACCCTTATATCCAGACAATTAAAGTGCTTTCTTGCGTGCATTTCTGTCCAGGAGAAGTCACATCTTTTAATGTGGGAAGGCATAGGTTTTTCCAAATCTTATATACTGTTTATATGAGATGAAGTGATATTTATGGTCCAAAGCAACCAACACTGACTAGTGGCATTCCAAAAACAGAGGCTAACTGACACCCTTTAAGAAAGGCATGTCCAACGCTCGGTCCATGGGCCATATGTAGCCCCGCAGAGCTAATATTGTGGCCCACAAGGTCTTAAACTTTCAAAGGAAGTTTGTTATTTTTATACATGAACTATATTTTATATGCAGCCCAAGACAATTTCAACGCTAAAAGGTTAGACACCCATGCTTTAAGGATTTGGTAGGGCTACAAGGTTTGGGATAAAAAATCCAGGTACTCACTAGCTGCAATAAAAATATATACAAAACTCTTACTCTTTGCTGCCTTCTAATATTTTTGGCAAATTTTCTTTTTTGTACTATTATTAGTAATGATACCAATTATAATACTGCCATCATGACATAAATACTGGAAGTTGGCCCACATGAAATCCACAAAAAGTTTGCTCTCTGGTGTTTTGCTATGGTTTTCATTCATTAGATGTATACAATAAGGGCCATTTTTGTGTAAACTAAAGATTCCCCAAATCAAACTCACAAACAAGGTGCTTTTTCACAAACGGAGAATTTCAAAAAATATCCTTATGTAGCTTGGGTATTTTTTTGCTTAATACTTTCAAGGCTTGCATTTTAAGTAAACTGCTTCATAGGTTGTTACTGTTGCTTTTAAGAAAAAAAGGAAATAATGGGGAAGAGAATCAAGGTGTTCTTTATTTCAGCCAGGGAATTTATGCATGCTACAAAAATCATCTTTACTTTTCCTCTATGTAATTCGGAGCTCATTGCACTTTTTTTTTTGCTTGCTTGCTTTGTTTCACATGGCACTTGATTGGTATCCAATTCAATCAAGATTTTCTAAAGTTTTCTTTAATAAAGATGCTTTTTCTTGTAGTTCAGGCCTACTGTCCAAAGTCAATGCTGTTAAAGAGCCAATGAGGACTTCTCTACTTTCAGTGCTCAGGCTTTCCCACTGTTTGGATTCTACACAAGAAAAGGGAAAAGAAGGGATATCGTCATCCACCTTTCCAGTTGCATTTTCAGCTAACAGCTTTTAGAATGGATTCTAATAATTAAAATACAATTTTAATCACTAACATACTCATATCACTTGATAATAGTGAAAAGACAGTTTATCTAAGTGTTCCCCCCCATCAAATTTCAATTGATGGAAAATCCTCTCTGAATAATGCAACATAGCTCTGCCTAATAGTGATGAAAATAACAGCATATATTTTTTTTTGATGTTCGATAACCTGTTGTAGGACAACTTCGGCTATTTTGTAGAATTACAAATTGAAATAAAAACTACAATAACTAAAAGCTTGTGTTAATATTTTATCCATTTAGAGTACATGGAATCAATCAGAATTTTGGATGTAAAGGACGTAATGGAAAACAAACTTGCATTAAAATATATATTCAAAGACACTTATGTTAAAATATACATTCAATAATTAGATCATAAGAGTCGTGTTCTTTTCCTAATTATAGGCATAAAAAATCTACGTGAAACAAAATGTTGAAAGAATGTTGAGGCACAAAGAAAATACTCCTTCAATATTTACTCTTCTTTTTCTCAATGAATCAAAATCATCTCCTTAGATGACTTAAGTTCCATACAGCATTTGAATAGAGATGTGTAAAATATTTATAAGAGCCGGGTGGCACAGTGGTTAGAATGCAGTATTGCAGGCTAATTCTGCCAACTGCCAGCAGTTCGATTCTCACAGGCTCAAGGTTGACTCAGCTTTCCATCCTTCTGAGGTCGGTAAAATGAGGACCCAGATTGTTGATGGCAATATGCTGATTCTGTAAACCGCTTAGAGAGGGCTGTAAAGCACTGTGAAGCAGCATATAAGCCTAAATGCTATTGCTATGCTTAGATCTCAGTCAGTTGTTTTTGTTCTGACTGAGTCCAAAACAAATTAATGACCAGAGAATCCCATTCAGGATTAGAATTAGAATTAGGGCTAATAATGCCTCATCCAAAATGTAGAAATCCATTACATTTATACACAGTTAACAGATTTTGATCATTTTTGGCACTATTCAAAGTATTACTTTAATGATCGATTCTTGAAATGTTTGCTATTTTAAAAAATGGCCAAGTTCATCTAGATCTTAAAGCAGTGGGCAAGCTGAACCAATTTTGCCATGTGGCATAGATTAGAAAGCCTACTGTCTTTCAAATTAATTTCTATGGTTTTTTTTCTGATTGCAAATGTATCTGTGGTGCTCTAGATACAACTAAGGGTAATGGCAAATTTTGTATGTCCTGCATTTCTTTTTCAAAGTATTCTTCCCTATTGAAACTCTCTTATTAAATTTTCTAACTTGGCCTCATCTCAAATATGCAAAACATATGTTTTTCAGAATATCAAATGTTTTAAAAAAATTAGTTGAAAAAGAAAATAAAAACAAGCATGATTATATCAAGCAACTGATGTGCATCTTAAGTTACAAAACAGGAATCGGATTGGCCAAAATTGTTCTTTAAAACAAAATGGGATACAATCCTGTCCTCCAGCATTCAGCCTTTTGATTTAAGGAATAATCTTAATTTTCAGAACTGTAATTCTTACCTTCAAGTTTAGTGAGCAGCACCTCTATTACTGATAAAGCTTCAGTTCTTATGGAAGTGTAACTTTTATTCTCTAATGGAATAAGATTTACATTTAAAATGGTGAATACAAATTATGTGTATAACAACACAGTTTTATGCCAGAAATACGAACATGGAGAATTTATATAACTTGAGAGAGGCATACAATATCTCAATTTTTACTTTCTCCTAACCTCAATTCTATCATATATTTAATAATAATTGATTGCATTATTATTAAATAATATTGTTGAATTATTCTTCAAATAATGTTATTTGAACAATGACAAATAAAGGGATTTTGGTTGGAAATGAACTTGCAAAGGTAAGTAACAGTTGCATGTCTAGATGATTTCCAATGACTGGCTTATACATTATCCACATAAAGTTAATAATAATGTAGATGATCCTTCTGGTCTAAGTTATTCTGTGTGTTTTCATAAAGTTTTGGGAACTGTCCACCAAAGAGTAATTGGTGCTAGCTAAGGCAAAAACGGAGTTTGACATAATTTATAATTTGCAGGTAATATGATTTAAGGTAAACATAAGTCATGTAATTTACTCTCTTTGTCTGCTCTCAATAATTCTCGTTTTGTCAGATTAATAATGATAAATTAGTACAGCGTTTGAAATCCCTAGGGGCTTCACCCTAGCTTTTTGTAGGCTGCATGAAGCCCTGGTTTCTCAAATTATCAAAACTCTGTCCTAATATAAAAAAAGGATAGCAGGTACATACAGTCCTCTGCATCATTAAAGTTTCTTTTCCTTAATAAAAATATTCTCTTAGCAGTATCAAATTCTATATGGACAGAACCTTAAATCATATCAACCTACCTCTTCATACTGTGTCATGGACAAATAGCCCTTGGCCTTTGTGGGCTGACCTCCCTACATATACAGGTAATCCTCGACTTAACGGCCACAATTGAGTTTCTGTTGCTAAGCAAGACAGTTAAGTGAATTTTGCCCCATTTTACAACCTTTCTTGCCACAGTGGTTAAGTGAAAATGACTTCCCCACTGACTCTGCTTGTCAGAAGGTTGCAAAAGGGGATCACATGACCCCAGGATACTGCAACCGTCATAAATATGAATCAGTTGCCAAGCGTCTGAATTTTGATCACGTGACCATGGGGACGCTGCAATGGTCATAAGTATGAAAAACAGTTGTAAGTCACTTTTTTCAGTGCGTCGTAACTTTGAATGGTCACTAAATGAACTGTTATAAGTCGAAGACTACCTGTAGGTAGAGAGCAAGGAATATGACCTTGACAGGGATATGCAGGCTCCACTGCCAAGGCAACAAGATTAAAACAATTTTTAAACCTAGAGTGTCCAGGTAACATGTTTGATTTGTTTGGAAGTGTCTCAGACAAAGACCTTCCTGATCCTGAACTATAAGGAGGATGAAGAGGTACTGTAAAATCAGATTTGCAAGGTTCTGTTATTTAGCCATTCTCAATAAAAAAATAAGTTACAGGATACTTAATTTCATGGCTCTGGTCTATCTAGTGCGCCTGACAATAAGTAAGACAGGGACAATTTTTCTCTCTTAGTTAGAAAGTTGTGAAGAAGCAGAATGATGAAATTCCAAACTTTCTTACATCTATCCAGTAAGCAGAGCATCCAAATAAGAAAACATCTTAAAGACACAATATGGATATACACAAATCCTGCTACGCTGGTCAAAGAAGCAGTCATAATGCTTGATCAGTCGGCTGTCACAATGAATCTTTGGAAGATTCTATTTAGTTAAATTTAAGTTTCAAACAATAAATGTTATTAGAGAACAGGGCAATTTTAAAATCTTATCTGGAACTGCTACCTGCATCAAGCAAATAACCTTTCCACGAGCGAATCAGGAAACATGAAAAGCGTGAAATAGTCCATTCTCTCCTTTGTTCATTAAACTTTAGAACGAGTGGACAAAAAAAACACATGACTGAAAAGACATTTTACCTAGCGAGTGAGTGATGGAGGAACAGGTTTCCAACAATATTCTTGCCAAAGCCTCAGGGTCAGAGTGTTCTGCTTCAAACAATAATAACCTATCAAATGGAAGAACATAAGCATCATTCTTTTTCAAAGAGCACAGAGCCTTACTGTCTTAAAATTCCACCTGAGTGAGCTGCAATTATCATAGGCCTTCCATGTGGCTATTGTAGACATCAAACATGCTACACACAGTTATTTGGTGAGCCTTATGGAACTTGAAATTTCAATCCCACATACATTGCTCCTTACTTAAAACATGCCAGTTTCCTCATGCCAGTCAGGGGAAGCAAGTAGGGAGAAGAGGCAATGAGATTCACAAAGCTCGGGGAAAGGATTTTGAATCTCTCCATCTCCACATGCTACTGTGAGGGGGGACTGAATGAACAAGAACAAAAATAGCAGCTCCAGCACCCACAGAAAACTTACCCTTGGAAAAAAGCCTTCATGGCTTGGAGTACGCCAAGCTGTACTTTCCATGTACCAAGTCTCAGACGCTCACACATTAATCTGCACAGCTCTTGTCGATAGCAGCCTTTATTATTTTTTTAAAAAAGAGAGAGATCAAAATATAGACAATCTACACACTGACAATTCTCAATGCTTCGTTATAAGAGCCTCAGAAGATCTGATAACGGCAGAAGCCAGAATGACTTTCCTGTCAGAACTGCAATGTGTTCTGGTTGTTGTCTCCCTCTTCTGACTTCCTTTTTCCTCAGTCCCTTATCCTTGCCACCCATCTATGTTCTGGAGGAAAATCTCCCAAATGAATCTTCATATTATTTTCCAAGCAGATTTACTGTTCCCGGTACCTTAAATAAATATAGCTTCAAAGAAAACTGAGGATCAGGAACAAAAGACAGGAACCTAAGAACAAAGGACAAAATTTGGCTTGTCCCTTGAAATATTCAAATTCTAATCTTTCCCTTTTTGCTGCTTCCTTTCTGAAATTAAAAAAAAAAATGCTCACCCCACTTATTACCATGCTTATATTTAGGTTAAATCATAAGACATTATTTAAAAAAAATACAAAACAAACGAACTGCAACAAAACTAAGAACCAATACAATGAAATTGTTTCCTTCCTCTCCTATGAGCTCTTGCAACAGCTTTGTTTTAAAGATAAAATAGTTCAAATTACTGGAATTAGACCTACACTGTGTTTCTGAGTTTTTAGGCCAGGCTTTGCCTAAGCTTTCAAAGGCACAGAGGAGGGCTTCAACTTGCAGTTCTTTCTCATTTTCGTTCTCATCCTCATCATCGTCCTGTGATGAATTTGTTCTTACATTCCCAGGACAATTCTGCAGTGGAACCAGAGGGTGTGAAATTTGAAAGAGAAAGAGCAAGCAGAAGGGAAAAAAATGGTGATTTAGCTTTTATACTTCTCTTTTTACAAACATCCAGACAGCAATTCCATTAAATTATACTACATTTTGTTAGTAACAAAGCATTCAGAGTCAATATACTGAAATGTAAAACATTTTATTTACATGAAAGCTATCCACGCCATCTCTACTGCAGGAGACTAAACTTAATTTAATTAGCTAAATTTAATTAGCATACTGATAAAATTAATGTTTTAAATCTGATAGCAGGGACCATTTCCTTAATCTCACAGTCCAGCCAAGAAGTCACTCTAGTCATACTTGCCTCATAAAGAGACAGATCCCTAGGTAATGTATATTCACACAATTTTAGGCTCTCAATTAATTACCTTCACTGAAGAGAAAGTCAGTAAAGGAAATAAAAAGCTAGAAATCAGTGTAGAAAAAAAATAAAATTTTATGGAACTCTACTAAGATAGAAGTGTCCCAAAAACCCTAACTGGATATTAAGAAACTTGAAAACAGCTCTTCTGCCACAGGTGCATTAGCTGCCATTTGCCCTCTTCTTTATTAAGGATTTGCAACCCATTTGAAAGCAGCATCCTTCAAAGAGGGTGAGATATAAAGGGCTGATTCACTTGATTGTTCTCCAAAGAATAATATAGGATTGAGACCAAGGAGTACAAATGCATTAGAAATTTCTGGCTTCCTCTAGCCAGCAAGCAATTTTGTATGAGGTCTTTCTGCTATGTAGCAATAGCAATAGCACTTAGGCTTATATACTGCTTCACAGCCCTCTCTAAGCGGTTTACAATGTGAGCATACTGCCCCCAACAATCTGGGTCCTCATTTTACCAACCTCAGAAGGATGGAAGACTGAATCAACCCTGAGCCAGTCAGAATCAAACTGTTGGTGGTGGGCAGAGTCAGCCTGCAATACGGCATTTTAACCGCTGTGCCATATATCACCATAGCACCAGCTGGTAAAGCTGTAAATTATTAGTATAAAAATTCTAAACAGCTTGTTAGTTCTTCTTTGGCCGGACTGAATAGTAAGTGTTTTAAAAGCAAGAACGAGCAGCAAACTAAGTTGTTGGGTTTTTTTTGCTTTGACCTCAGTGGGGAATCTTATTGGTTCAGCTTGAGATGCCCTCCCCGCTTTTCACAACACCCCAGAGCCAGACTTACAAGATTTTTTTATATGGATTACATAGAACAATTCACAGAACTAGCAAATCCAAAAAATGTACTATTTTTTTAGTGATGCTATTATTCCAATCCAAGGAGGGCTGAAAGATCACCTTCTTTATTACTGGAAAGTTTATGTCTGTCAGTTCCTGGAACCTATTTTCCTGTGTAGCCTTAAGCACATCAGCCGTACACCGGAGCGCTACAATCTTGTACCGTAGGTTTTCTTTACGGCATTCTTTCAGCATTGCCTGTACGACATCATCCACACTGGGCTGGTTGGGCAAAGGCTTGCGCAGTTCCACACTAAAATCAATAAAGGATGAACAGGACACAACTGATCTATTTGTCTCCTTGGTATTACACCAAGCCTCTTAATTTAGCTCAGCCTCTAAGTATATTCTCTTGCAAAATGTGCATATTCCCTTTGCTTTAGGTACTTAAAACCTATCATGTGGCTGTGTAGACAACTTGGCATTTTATTTTATTGTAAAATCCTTTGAATTTTTGAAAAAGCAGCTAATGAACACTGGAAATCATACAGTTTGCATTTTCATTTTTCCCCAATGAAGAAAAGCTTCTTCGTATATCATTTATACCCATGCATACTCAGCAGCTATATATCAGAAAACATATCCCAGAATTGCACCAGTTAAGCCCAAGTGAGAATAAGCATTGATTTTTAACAACTAATATTTCCTTTGCTATAGCTTTTCAGGGAAAAAATATCTTACGGGAGAAGTCCAAAAAACAGGAGAAATAATTTGACCAGTAGCAAAAAAATCACTAGTATATTGGCATTGGAAGAAAAAATGGGAAAGGATATGAAAGAATAACTAGAATGAAATATGCTGAAAAAGTCTATGTCCACTATCACATAAACATGCAATGTTTTGTTTTGAATGCCAGTGAAATAATCAAAACACACATCTACTGTGGAATTAGCAGTGTATGTTGGGACACAACCTTGCAAAATATTTTATTGCAACAGCTTTACTTGCAGACACAGCCCTGCAAAATTTAAGGAACATTTTAAAAATCAGGCAGTATGTTGTATGGGAGAATTTTTGGTGATATCAGGAATTTTGGGGGGAAAATGAACATAGTAGAAAAGGAAACAGGTAAAAGAAGGAAAAGTAAAACAGGACAAGTGTAGGAAGAAAAATATGAATCGAGCATGGAAAAAAAAAAGAAGACAGATTAAAAGCTTCCTCCAAAAAATGGAAAATGGGCACATGGAAAGATGATTTTTGGAACAAGGTGCAAAGAATTATCTTAAGAGTGGTATGAGCATATATGGAATTATGTTAATGGGTAGCATGGAAAAACTGCTTGGTGGAATGATGTAAATGATGCGAAGAAGCAAATAATGAAAAATTGCATGTTAAAAGAAGAACTGCTGCAAAAATTAGAGAAATATAGTTTACATAAAGAGAAAAAGAGTTGCAATGATAGTCAAAAAGATCAAGAAAAAGAAAAGGTCAAAAGAGGCAGCAAAAAATATATAGCGTTCATGGAAAAAGACCGTTTTGAACATAGTTGAAGAGGGGTAAGCTCCCGGAGAGAGTACACAGAATTAAAAATTAAAGCGACAAAATGATTTGGGATGAAACTGATGTGAGAGAATGCTGGAAGAAATGTTTTAAAAATCTGTATAAAAATAATTGTCAAATATCAAATAATGGAAATATGCATGAATGTTAGTAGCCAAGAAAAAAAATGACAAAAAAGAAGTCATAAATGCTGTGAAAATGTTGAAAACAGATCAAGCTATAAGTGTAGATGATATAATTGAGAAGAGTTATAATTAGTTTTACCTGTGTGTGAAGGCTACTTTGGATTGGAATATTGCCATTACTATTCACCCATAAAAAAGGAAAGGTAGCAAGCAGAAACGCAGAAACTACAGGAAATTAGTTTATAAAATGTGCTTGGGATGATTTCTGGCAGATTTTTGGACTAAAAGGCAATGAAAAATCTCACTGAGCAAAATCTGGGAAGTGCAATGTAGCTTTATGCTGGGTAGATTCTTTGCTCTTTCAGCTCCACGTTTGTAAAAAATATTTCATAATTAATTCTTCTTCACTTTATCCTATGTTTTCTCTAAATCAACAAACATAGAGTTAGCCTTATTTTTTTACAAATTCCCCTGAAGAGCAAAGGGGAAAGAATTGCAAAAAAATAAGGCTAACTGTATGTTTGTTGATTTAGAGAAAACACGTGATAAAGTAAATAAGAATTACCGCAATTATGAAATATTTTTTTACAAATGTGGAGCTGAAACTTCATCGTTGAATGCGGTAAAAATAATATAGTATCTCTGTAAAGCATCTGTGGGAAAAACACAGAATACTAAGTAAAGGTTCAGCACTGAACAAGGAGTGTATCGCCTTGGTTGTTTAATGAATTATGGATATCTATATAAGGAATGCTTGTAAATATGGAAGACGTGTGTTGGATATATGAATGTACACGCATTTCAAGTGTGATTCTCTGTTCCCTACTTCATCCTTTTTATTTAACATCCATGGGGGGGGGGATGTCTAAGAGTCAGTTTTTGATTCCTGGGGACTTGACTGACTTGCAGTTTTCTTGAAGAGGGTTTTTGGAAGTGGTTTGCCATTGCTTCCTTCCTAGGGCTAGGACAAAGGAACAACTCTCACCCAGTTGGCTTTATGCCTAACGTAGGACTGAAACTCATGGTCTCCCAGTTTCTAGCCTGGTGCCTTAACCGTTACACTAAACTCAATTTCATTTGTCCTAACGATTACAAGAAATCTTCTAGTTCACTTCTTTTTAAAAAAAATAATTAAAAATACTTCCAATATTTTAAGGAAGTCAAGAGATTGTAGTAGTACCTAAAGTCCCCTCAGTACTTTTCTAGGAATCAATGAGGAAATTCATCTCACCCCCAAACCAGTGAGAAACTTTCAGACCGGGAGATGAACATATTTTTACCTGCATGAACAGACGACGCTGGCAATTGCTTTTAATAGCTCTTCCTAAAAACATTATAAAAAAAGAGATAAATGTTAGTATGTGATTTTTTATATTGTCCCCACAAAGATTTAGAAGTACCACGTCAAATGTGCAAGTTACATCTTGTACGAACATTTGATTGTGAATTATAATGATATCCACTTGGGCGAAAGACTAGAGAGAACAAAAAAAGTGCACGACAACAGAGCCAGCTCAGCCTGACTTACATTACTATAATACCAAACAGTTTTTTCCTTCTAGGGTAAACTTGTTTTTCCCAATTGGCCTCCTAGAATTTCTTTTTAAAATCAAACACCAACTAGTACAGGGCTTTTCAACCTTTTCACCCATTGTACCACTTTTAGGATATGGCAATATCCGAGTACCACCAGTCGCCTAGCAAGGTGTCAAAAACTCGACCAAAGGGAAAAAAAGGAAAAAAGTGATAAAGTACAGGTAGTCCTCGACTTACAACAGTTCACTTAATGACTGTTCGAAGTTACAATGGCACTGAAAAAAGGGCCAAGCAAGACACCTGCCTGCCTGCCCGCCCGGCGGCGCTCTTCCTCCTGTCCGAGGTTTTCATTGTTGTGAGCATTTCTGTTGAGGATTGGCAGCGGAGGTGGGGTGGGTGTTTAGTTTTTATTTCCCCCGTCTGCTGGGTGGTTGCAGGTTTTGGTCACTTCACATGACCCTGGGATACTGTGACCGTCATAAATATGAATCAGTTGCCAAGCATCTGAATGTAAATCACAAGACCCTGGAGATGCTGCAACATTCCAGCTGATCGGCTCTCCTTCTGGGCTCAGCAGAAGTGCCAGGATCAGCGCTGAGCTCCAGCTGGAGCCTGGCACTGATCCTGGTGCTTCCACTGAGCCCTGACAGCCCCGAAGAAGCGCCGATCAGCTGGAAAGCGGCACTGATCCTGGCGCTTCTGCTGAGCCCTGACAGCCCTGCAGCTCCAGCCATCTCTTACTCACTTGTGTAGTGCTGCCACCAGTTCAGCTCATTCCCCTCCCCTGCTACCACTTTTCTAGGATGGTCGCGTACCACCTGCCAGGTACTAATGTACCACAGGTGGTACCCGTACCACTGGTTGAAAAGCCCTGAACTAGTATATTAATGATTCTGCAAACACAGATTCATTAAACTCACAGTGTATACCCCAGCACTTTAGAACCTACTTGACAACAACGTGCAAATTTTATTTATTTATCAAATTTATAACTCCCCCTTCCCCCATCTCACCTATTTGGCCTCTGGGCAGCTTATAAAATAAAAGCCATCCAGCCAGTTACAGGCAGTCGTGAAAAAGGAAATGCAAAGAATTGTAGTATTTTTTTTTAAATGTCTGCTTCTAAACCCCAAAACAAACCAAAAGCACAGGTCACTGCTCTTACCTTTCCAGCCCATGTTCTTCCAGGCAGACCTTGCAACAGAGCCGCGAGCACCATGCCTAAGTGTGGAGGCACCAGAACGCCAGTCTGCTTTGCGATGGATGCCATGGCAGCTGCTCCTTGCGCTTTCATCTTCCAAGATGGAGACTGCAAAGCTTTCTGAGTAACTGCAATCAATTCCTCCATATAGAGCCTTAAGCCACCATAGGTACCTAGGTTTCAAAACGCACAGCATTTACTAGAATGAATAAGAGAACTGTTCTGTCCCCGTCTCACACACACCCAAACAGCCAGCCGAGGGTTAAATAAACTTCTCAAACACTCCACGCCACTGATAAGGAACTTGGCAGCAACTCCATAGCTGCCTGCCAAGAACTTTTTACTCCGATAACACAGACAAAAATACACACAGTTTGAATAGTCCAGTTTGTAATTAAATCCACAGCAAATAGGCGTTGTGTCCAGAGGTGCAAAGTGATTCGCCAGAGATTTAGCTTTGTCTGTCACAGAGTCCAAATGGCCACCACATTCTCTTTTATAGCCTGTGGGGTGGGGTCCAGTGACTCAGCTTAATCTCTGGCACACCTCCTTTTCTGCTGCGCACACTTGTCTCGCCTACGCTGGCATGGGTCCAGCCACAACGTATCTTCGTCACTATCCGACGGCTCGGAAACACCTGGCTCCTGGCCAATCTCTTCTCCGTCGGGAGACACCTGAGGCATTGCCAGAGAGGAGGGTCCTGGAGAGAGAGGACTGGTCATCTCCATGTTCGGAGCCTTCTTCCTCCGATAAGATGGGCTCAGAGGACGGAACCACAACAAGAACCACTGCCACCACTAACGGGTGTTAATGTGGGAGGTCCTCACTTAAACAGTGGCAATTGGGACTGGGGTTTTCATCGCTAAGTGACGTGGTTATAAAGTGTGGAACCTAGCGGTGGCAACCCTGGCAGCTCCTATTGTCATCATTAGGCGAGGGTTGCGGGTTTTTAATAGGGAAGCAGGCTGGAGGACAGGTGAGTATAGGAGTAAAGGCAGGGTGGAAAGGCGCTGCTTTGTGGTGGTAAGTGTACACGGGCTGGAGAGAGCGAGCGCTGCTGCACCACGTGACGGCAGGAGGACTGAGGAGGGGACGCTGCTGCCCTGTGAGTGGGTACCGCTTCACCGCGCAAGGGCAGCTAGGCAGGGAAGGGGTTGCATGGGGCTCCTTGAAAGAACAAGTGGGTGGGAAGTAACTTGCATCCTCTCCTGCTGACAGGAAAGGTTGTAAATGGTCATGACGGGACACTGCAACCATCATAATTGTGAGCCAGTTGCCAAGTGCCCAGGTTGTGATCATGTGACTTCAGGGGTGTTGCAGCGGCCAAAACTTTGACGACTGGTCCTCAGTAACACATGTTCAACAGTAACTTTGAATAGTTGCTGAATAGGTTGTTGTTAACCAAGAACTACCTGTAGAGAAATTGGGGACAAAGACTCTAATATTTAGAGAGAGAGAAGCCTGGAACAGTGGTTCCTGCTTTAGGAAAAGTTAAAAGGCATGAGCCAGCCTGGTCCTTTGAACGTTGGACTGGATTAAAAAGTTCCGTATGTAAAGTGAATTCACTGTGGTTTTGGGCCATCGTTTTCTCATTAGGTCATTACTATGTGGATAAAACTAGAGTTGACCATTTTATTTTATTTTATTTATTATTTATTTTATTTTATTAATTTATTTTATATTTTATTTTATTAATTTATTTTTATTATTGCCAATCTCACTGTCACACAATTCTGAGTAGTTTACAATCTGATAAAACAATAATATAAAAGAGGAAAACAATAAGCACATTAAAATTAAAAAGAGTATAGATTATGTTTGGCTTTTAAGAGAAAAGGGTAGAATATAAGTGAAATTAATTTAACAATTTAATAAATAAATAGGCAAAAAGTCCCAGTTCAAATTGTACTTGGAGAAAGCAAGTCTGAGCATAACTTAAAAAAACAAACAAACATAATGACATGGGGATATCTGTGGGGTTTTCCACACTTGGAATACTGCATCCAGTTTTGGTCACCACGATGTAAAAAAGATGCTGAGACTCTAGAAAGAGTACAGAGAAGAGCAACAAAGATGATTAGGGGACTGGAGGCTAAAGCATATAAGGAACAGCTCCTGGAATTGGGTATGTCTAGTTTAACGAAGAGAAGGACGAGGGGGGACATGATAGCAGTGTTCCAATATCTCAGGGGCTGCCACAAAGAAGAGGGAGTCAAGCTATTCTCCAAAGCGCCTGAAGGCAGGACAAGGAGCAACGGGTGGAAACTAATCAAGGAGAGAAGCAACCTAGAACTAAGGAGAAACTTCCTGACAGTGAGAACAATTAACCAGTGGAACAACCTGCCTCCAGAAGCGGTGAATGCTCCAACACTGGAGGTTTTTAAGAAGAGACTGGACAGCCATTTGTCCGAAATGGTATAGGGTTTCCTGCCTGAGCAGGGGGTTGAACTAGATGACCTCCAAGGTCCCTTCCAACTACTACTACTACTACTACTACTACTACTACTACTACTACTACTACTACTATTATTATTATTATTATTATTATTATTATAAAATGAACTAAGAGGACTTTACATAACCTCTACCTTCAGAGACCAAGATCACTATTTTAATTTTAGGATTTGTATTCTGGGTTTTCATACTATGAAGTGGTCCTACAGTAGTGAAGTTCATGAATGATAGATCCACTTACCAGGTATGTTTTCCTGCCATACTTCAGTCCACAGGTTGCCTTCCTCCTTCTCTGCTTTGTCTTCTTCAGGAATTTCATGCATGCCCAAAAAAGCCAGAGGCAAAACGCACTTGGCTTGATTCTTCAGCACATCTGGGCTGTAGCGTCCAATAGCATGCATCGTTAAAGCACATGCCATTTTATAGACTGGTTCTAAAATAAAAAACACAGTGAGAAAAGAAAGATTCCCTGTTATCATTGCAGCCCAGGGCTCAGTGTTCTGATTTCTAGCAATACTCTTAACATTATTCAAAGTTCTGGTCGTTTAGAAAATATGGGACATAAGACTTCAAATCTATAAATCAAAGATGTATAACTTTTACTAGGTGGAGAATTACAGTGCTCTTTCAAGTGGTGTACCAAGAATCATGTTCCAAAAAAGTGGGTAAGACAAAAACAAAAATTAGATTTTACTGCAATAACATTTAACTGTAAGTAAAACCCATTAAATAACGGCAATATAATTACTTCCTATAAATTTAAAGCTTCTTTCCTCCTGTTACATTAAAAAATGAATAGCAACATTTTGAAGGGCTCTAGGGACACATGCTAGCGTTCAGGAAATGCAGGCTCTATGCTCTTGCTGCAAACGAAGTAGAATCCATATCATTTTTGCCTATTCTCAAATAAAATTACCTGGAGAAAAAAAAAATAAGAAAATGCTTCTTTTCTTTTTCACTGCAATGTTGAACAGAAAGTCAAAACAAGTATAAAACTGTAGCAATAATTACTTTGCAAAGAGTCAAGTTGTAAGACTAAGTATGACCCAAATTTTGATCACTGATCGATGCAGTCGTTAGGTGAAATAGGACGTGACCACACTGCTTAGTAATGGCAATCCCAGCAGTCCCCATTGCAGTCGTTAACCAAATTCTACTGGTCATCAGGTGAGGACTCATCCTAATCCAGTGGTTCTCAACCTTTTTAATGCCGCGACCCCCAACCGGTCGTAAGTCGAGGATTAAACCGGTCGTAAGTCGAGGACTAAAGCGGTAGTAAGTCGAGGACTACCCAACCGGTCATACGTCGAGGACTTTCCCTGCCCAGGAGCGCCGCGCATGCGTGGTTCTGCCCCCTGCGCCGGCCGAGGCGTAGCTGGCAAGCGGCAGAGACGGAGCAGGCCGACCAACAGCTGGCCCAGCTCAAGGGAGGCAAGGCACCCGCCGGAAAAGGGAAAAAAAATGGTGGACAGCCTTGCTTGGCGACCCACGTGAAATGGTCGATCGACCCCAAATGGGGTCGCGACCCATAGGTTGAGAACCGCTGTCCTAATCCAAGCAATTCCTGGCTTGGTCTTTCCCAGTCCTAAGCTTTAGTAAGGTAAGGCAGTGGTCCCCAACCTTTCTGGAACCAGGGACTGGTTTCATGAAAGACAATTTTTCCACAGACTCTGTGTGTGTGTGTGTGTGTGTGTGTGTGTTTTGCGTGCAATCTAGATCCCCCACACATGCGCAGGCAAAGCTTCACTCACTTGCCCACTGCTTGTGCAGCCTGGTACCTAACAGCCCATGGACCGGTACCTGTCCCCGATCCAGAGCTTGGGGGCTCCTGAAATAAAGGACTGCCTCCTCTTGAGTTCCCACCACCTGCCTATTTCTCCCCATCTCTGCCCTTTTGGTCGCCCTACATTGCAGCTCTCCTCAGCAGCAGTCCTGGGGCTAAAATAAAGCCCCAAGGCCCTCAGCAGTCACCAGTGTCCCTAGGCCTCAACTTCGAACCTCAGTGCCACTGCTGCCATTGAGGACTGCCACTGTGTAAGGTGGTCAAAGGGACAAAGATGGTGAAGAGATAAGAAAGCTTCTGACGCCTTCTGAAACATCCCAAGAACAGGGAGCAGTATTTGGACAACAGTGCAAGCGACCTTGTGAAGAAGGCCTGGCATGGTCAGCAGCTGCCTCTTATAGGGCCAGGCTGGGCACACGTTGTCTATGGTGGGAAGATGTTGAAGGCCAAGCTGGGTGCAGCAGGGCTTGTGGAGCATGGGACAGTGGGGGTTTTGTACCGTGACATGGGGCTTGAGGTGGCAATATTTGGCGGCCTGCAGTGGGGCTGAAGTAGAGGCCTAGGTCAGGGGTAGGCAACCTCGGCTCTTTTATGACTCATGGACTTCAACTCCCAGAATTCCTGAGTCAGCTATGCTCAGGAATTCTGGGAGTTGAAGTCCAGGAGTCATAAAAGAGCCGAAGTTGCCTACCCCTGGCCTAGGTCAATGGCAGCCAGGTAATACTGCTAAAAGCCTCTACTTCAGCCCCAATACTGATGCCAGAGTGTTGTTGTGTAGGGTTGGCAAAAGGGAGAGATAGGTGGGTGGAGGGAATTGAAGCACTCTTGCAGTTGTACGTATGGACAGGCTGCTAAGCACCTAAATTTTGATCACATGACTGTGGGAGTGCTACAATGGCCATACCTTGAGAACTACCTACATTATTCATATTTTCAGCATATTCAATCTATCAAATTAATGAACAGAAGAGTTTCACAAATTAAATCAAAATAATTTTGACACAGACTGCTGGAAAAACACTTATTTGGTGGGTTTAAGGCTAAGCTAAGGTCTTTTTCAATCTAAAATCAACACCAGCTGCTTATGTAATGAGATAGTTGGCTTTTCAGAGATTTTCAAGTGAGTCACATTCAAGTAACGTAAAAGTTTTTAAATAGCAAAACTTCTGAATGGATGTTATATAAGCATTTTCTATCAAACACTATATGAGATGAAAGCATTTTAAGAGAAAAAGCTGTTTAGTAAGCTTAGCATGCTAGCAAAGAAAAGCAATTCTCAAACTATCCAGGTTGCATTTTAAAACAAAAGTAATAGCAATGTCATACTCATTACATAGGCTATTAGGAATGAAACATTTTTAAAATAGTTAACATTCTACAATGTTTTAAAAACAGTTTTCTTAAGCCAATACCTTCCTTCTCCATGTACCAACTGTTGAGCTTCTGGAGCAATTTGTCAGTGCTGCTGTCTCTTGAAGTCTTTAAAAAAAAAAACACCAGAAAATCTTATGTCACTACTGAACCCACAAAACCAGACAGCAAAGTCTCAAAGCTGAGGAAGCATAACTTACTCTAACTAAATGTCCCAAGGCAAACGCAAAGCTCTTCTGCACCACACTATTGCGATCAGTTAGGCCACTAAGTAAAGCACTCATGAGCTTACCTATGGTATGTAAGAGAGGAAATTATTTTAGCAATCAACTGTCTCTATGCAGGCAAGTAGAAAGTCAATTCCCAAACCTTCTGATACAATTAATACAGTAAAAAAAGATGAGGTTTAATGTATTCCACAACTACTCCAACAGCTACAACACACCTTGATGGCTCAAAACAACAAAATACAGTGACAGATGACCAATGCTATAATGTAATTTTCTTCAAACAAGTTTCCATATAGTCCTGGTTTTTAACCACTAGTTTGAATAAAGGGATCATTGTTGACTATAGGAATTGATTTCTGGCTTTGTGCTGACTTAAATACATGTAATGCAGGGGTGTCAAACTGCTGGCCCACGGGCCGGATGCGTCATCCGGAAGCTGCGCCCACCCCATTGCCGGCAATGGCAAAACCGTCCCGATACGTTGCACGACGTCACGTGATGCCGCGAGTTTGACATGTCTGATATAATGGGAAAAGCAGCTATATATTTAATAATTTCCTCTGTCTCTCCTCTAATGGGAGGAGCAGCAATCTATCCTTCATTCACCACTGTGTTGAAAAGTTGTTGTTTTTTTAAAAAGAATTATCTTGTATAAAAGGTTAGGGGTTCAAAATCCTTAAGGCAGATTAGGAAAATCTTTTGCAGGTTAGTAAAGTTTTGGGGTTTATTTGCAAAACGGAAAAAAGAAAAGAAAAAGAGTAAATCAGCCAAGGCTTAAAAGGAAGAAAATGTGACTTTAAAACCTACCAGCATATGGTGTCAAATCTTGGGGGCACTGAGTGGTTAGTGACACAATTACACTAGCACAACCACCCTAAAAAGAGTAAAAATAGGAAAGGCAGAGATTAGTTTATTCTTCTGGGTGAAAAAGAAGCTTACATCTGCACATTTACTTAGAAACAAGCCACACTGAATTCAGTGACGCTACTCTGAATGAATACAGGCAGTCCTCACTTACCGACATAGCAACCATTCGAAGTTACAAAGGCGCTGAGAAAAAAAAGAGACTTAGGACTAGTCCTCAAAGTAGTGGCCACTGGAGCATCCCCACGGTCATGTGACTGTGATTAGGGGTGCTTGCCAACTGGTGCGCATTTACAACAGTCACAGCATTACATGATTACACGATCAACACCTACAACTTTCATAGCTGGTTTCATTGTGGATGCTGGCAGGAAGTTGCAAGCGTGGTTCACGTGGCATCCAGTGGGATTCTCACCTAACAACCACGTCCATGACCTGACAAACGAATATCGTCAGTCAGGCACAAGTCACGTGATTTTCACTTCGTCACTGCATTGCTTAGCAACAGAGTTGCCAGTCTGTAAATGAGGACAACCTATATAGAGAATCAGACAGCTAGTCAGAATTCTGACAGTATGAATGACAAGGAAATAGCCACCATATTATTGATTATCGATTTTTATTTGCAGGAACTACAAGTGCAGAATATCTAAAAATGGCAGCTTAGCTGAATTACACCAATGTTATCTGCCCCTCCCAAGTATCCTTCCCCTAGCACAGTGATGGTGAACCTTTTAGAGACCGAGTGCCCAAACTGCAACTGAAAACCCACTTATTTATCGCTGGGTGCCAGGTGGGCGTGGCCCACTGGGTGGTCGTGGCAGATTGGGTGGGTGTGGCCAAGGTGGGCGTGATCACCTCGATGTTGCTGATGGGGAGGGACACCTGTGGGGGCCGGGCAGGGTTGGGGGAGATCCAGGGGGTCTCTGGCGTGGGGCGGTGGGCAGGAGGCTTGTCCTGCGGGGTGAGACAAGGCAAGGTGAGGCAAGGCGGGGATGCCATTGTCACAGGGCAAGGTGAGGCAGGGGCCAGGCGGGTGCTGCCTGACACCATCGGCCCCTGCACACAGAGGCCAGCGAGCGCATGGGTGCTGGGATGCATCCGGCCATGTGGGACCTCAGCGAGTTAGCGGGCGGCTGGTTGAAAAGGGACGGTTGCCATCTCCGGGGCATGGCGCGCGTGTCCACAGAGAGGGCTCTGAGTGCCGCCTCTGGCATGCGTGCCATAGGTTCGCCACCACTGCCCTAGCACTAAGACTTCCTCATATTCACAGTCACTGTTAATCTCAATAGAATGGCAACGCCAGAGCCCCCATAGCACTGCCAGGGAAGGCATAATGGATGCTATACAATTGCATCACCTTCTGCATGAGACATAACATGAGCATCCTTTCCTGACTTTCTCTCCTGAATTTGTCATCCTTTCCTAATTTTTTTCTTCTGAATTTGCCAGTATCTCATCTCTGGATAGGTCTACATAAACTGCATTCACTTTCATCCCAGGATAAAATCATTGTATATTTATAATTACACAAATAAAGAGATATATTTAGGTGGCTGTGCACATTTAAGTAGGTGCTTATCGTTCCCAACTTTCCTGCACCACACTTCTTTCATAAAGCATAAGGATACCTTAGTGCCAATGCCGATTCCACTTCTAGTCAGTTCACAGAGCCTAGGAATCAGCTCTCCCAAAACAGACACATCCAAATATTGCAAGCACTGGAGAAACAAACCAAAAGAAAATCAAAGTATCCAAGATTAATATAGCAAAATAGATTACTAGACTGTTGCTCACAAGCTGCTTGTTAGCATTCTGCAGGAAGAAGAACTGTTGGAGCAGGAGCAACTTAAAATACATCCACTTTTATCCAGTACTTTCTTTGCAGGAATGTTTTTGTTTCTATCAATGGCTGTTTAGCCATCCATTGTCAAAGTGTAGCTTATCGTAAAAACAGAAATGATAACCACTATTTTCTTTCCTTTTTGTATGTGTGTGCATATGTGAGTGTGCAGGGGGAGGGAGAGGTGTTGAGTGTTCAGGGATATTTTACCCCTTACTTTATTTGCATCCCTGTTACGCCAGAAAGGCTAGCCTGTTTTATTTTTTTTATTTTATTTTATTTTAATTTAAATTTTATTGAAAACAAAAGTTAAAAACATTGAACATGGTAAATCAGATTTGACATACATCTCAATTCACTATTCATCATTAATTGCTAGTAAGAAAAACCTATACAAATAACATCATTCTAATCACAATCTTAACTTATCTCATTACAATAACTTCCATGCTTTTCCCCCCACCATCTGTAAAATTTGTTCCAACTTTGGTAAAAATCCGTTTCATCCTGATTTTTAAGTCTTCTAGTTAATCTATCTAATTCTGCGCAGTACATAATTTTATGAATTACGCTTTCCTTACTAGGTATCACCGTAGCTTTCCAATTTTGAGCGAATATAATTCTTGCCGCTGTAACCACGTGAGTAAATAAAAACATATCTTCTTTACTAACATTGTTTTCGAGAATTCCTAACAACAGTGTCTCAGGTTTATACTGAATATTTTGCATACCCATTTCTGTTACCCACACCCAAGCCTGTTTTAAAAGGTCATGAGAAAGTTTTGCTAATTCTTCTTGGTTATTGATCAAGACATTATTAGAAGTGAACAATTTCCTAAATGAAATAATTAGAAATACCAATATTCTGCTATCAGTCTTAACCAGAATAATTTCATTATTACTTGAACTCTTCCTTGGTTCACTATATAAATCTTTTCTTAAAGCCAATTATTACCATATTTATAGTTTCCATCATTGGGGAGGACTTAGCAGCACTGAGTCTTGCAGTATCCATTGCAGCCTAAAAGATAAAAAAGAAAAATGATTTTAAAAAAATCTAGAGATTAAAAGGTAACAAGAGAAAACAGAAGGCATATCTGGATACAGAGTAGCAAGCAATATTATGTTAAGAGAGACTGAAAAGACAAATAAAGATTCTTTAAAAAAGAGGAATAATTTTTAGGAAATTATTAAACCCAGAGCTTATTTTAGTTAAATAGCATATACAAATTAAGTACATATTAAATATACCTTATTTATCATGTATGTTAATTAAAAATAAAATATTATATAGATATCTCAACTCTTATGAAAATAACTGATGATGTATCTTAATCTCATTCCCACCTCCGCTAGACAGCCTTTAGTCTGAGATGTGTTTGAATATTAGTAGAGTTGGTAGTTGGGCTGTTGGTTTGTTCTCCAAGCTTGGCGATTTGGCTACAAATGTTTCGTCTCCATTCGGGGAGGGGACATCTTCAGTGCGCTTTGAACTGTGCTCGTATGTCAGAGCACTGGCCTTTAAATACCTTTTTTATGTAAATTGGTGTAGGTGTTATTTGTCCAGATGTTTCTGAGTCATGGTCTGGTTTTAGACTATTTGATTGGCTGATTGTTGTTGCAGGCCATCGTCTTTGGTGTTTAAGTATCATCTGTGTGTTGCAAATGGTGTTTTGTTCGTTTGGTTGCCTCTAAGTCATGGTCTGGGTTGTTTGGTTGGCAAACACCATTTGCAACACACAGGCGGTACTTAAACATCAAGGACTATGGCCCAGCAACAACAACCAGCCAATCAAACAGCTCGAAACCAGACCATGGCTCATAAACATCCAGACAAATAACACTCACACCAATTTATATCATACAAAAAGGTATTTAAAGGCCAGTGCTCTGACAGATGAGGACAATTCAAAGTGCACGGAAAATGTCCCCTCGAATGGAGACGAAACGTTTGCAACCAAATCGCCAAGCTCAGAGATCAAACCAACAGCCCAGCCTTTAGTCTAGAATAGCTAATGCTTTTTATAAATTAAACCTTCTTACTTAATAGTGCCCTCACCTTTTCTTGCTCTGTAGCACGCAGACTCAAGTAGTTAAGGACCTGAGGCTCCAAAACACTCAGGGATTCCAACAAAGCTGGGATGAGTTTTGGTGCATGTGGTTTCAGCATGGCCCCAGCACTTTTACTAATCTTGACCAAGGTGTTAATGCTATAAATAAAAAAGTGGAAGACAAGCACATTTGCAATCTTTTTCAGTAGTAGTAATCCATCCAACCACATACAGCATATTGTTTAGGTCCAGAAAACAATCTGCTACAGAAATTAACTTCCATTAGCTAAACCAAAGTACAGTAGTTCAAAAGATAAATGAAATGCAGCAAATTCCCAGGAAGCTTATATTACCTACTTTCTTGGCCATAAATATCCATGCCACCAAGAAGTCTACCAATTTCAGTGGCTGTGCTTATAGCAGGTTAGAATGGATCTTTTCATAGCTGGTTGTAGAAACTGTAGAACTCTTTATTTGATACAATCGTGATTTTTTTTCCACCTACCCATGTTTCCCTGAAAATAAGACCCAGTCTTATATATTTTTTGCCTCCAAAAGAGGCATTATGTCTTATTTTCGGGGGTTGTCTTTTTTCCCCCACTGTATCGCCTCGTGAGGGCACCAACAACCCTGTCCAACAATGGCTGCTGCTGGCCCACTTCTTCTGTGGCCACTCACTGCCACTTGCGCACATCACCCCCGGCCTCGGTTTCGCCAGCAGAGGCCTTCAGGAAAGGCCTCTGCAGCCCAGAAGAAAACTCCGTGGCGAGGCAGGTGTTGGGGCATGGGAGGCCTGGTTGTGGCAATCCTGAGGTAAGTGGGTGTGGGGCGTGGGGGCCAGGTCCACCCCCTTAGCTTGATTTTTTTATGCATGTGCCTCGCCCCACCTCATGCCACCAGACTGTGGGATGGAGTGGGTGGGGTCTTAACTAGGGCTTATTTTGGGGGAGGGCTTATATTAAATGCACGCGTAAAAAGCAACCTAGGTCTTATTTTCGGGGAAACACAGTAAGAGTAAGTGGTTGCAGTTACAATAGTGGAATCTATAAATTTAATTTATTGTAAAAATATTTCTTGGATTCATTTATTTCATTTCAGCTAACAAGAGAAAGAATGATAGGTAAAGCCCATCTGCTAAAATTGTTTTTGGCTATGAGATTTGAAAAAAAAATGAGAAGAGAGTAAAGAAATGTAAGAATAACATACCTCAGAGTCCGCACTTCAGTTACCGAATTCATCATTCCTTTATCAAGAAGACATGGCAAAAGTACAGCTATGGTTTTCTGGCCTGCAATTCCTTTAGATGGATCGCACATCTTCACACACACCTTAAAAGAATAGATAACATGCAAATGGCAGATGGCACTAGAAGCCCTGATGTTTGGAAGGTATTTTTTATACTATGGCTCAAACTGAGTCACAGAGTGATGTAAAATTCTTGTAGTCATTGAAGTGATTATGAAAATGTACCTTACTTAGTGTTTTCAGGGCTAACTCGGCCGCCTTTCGTACAGATTCCTGAAAAAGAAAAGGGGGAGGGGGAGTTTTCCTTTAAGTTTCCAATTTTAATTTCAGATTCTATTAATGGAGTGGTTTTGCCTCGATGATGTATATTTTCAAGAAAATATAAATCTCTTTTTCAAACAAAGTTGCTTGTTTGGGAATCCAGAAAAATAATTAAAAATTCGCACTGGTATCAAGGGGTTGGTATGTATAAAGCTTGCAGAGTATAATGTTAACTCCGCTTTACAGAAAGAAGGAGAAAGGAAGGAGTCTAAATCAAAACAAATGCCTATCTGACTCTTTTGATGCTCTATAAATACTTTTTTAAAATGTAGCCCAATTACAATCATTTTCTATTCTAAGTATTTCCCTTTTATTCATAAAGCTCAGATATTTTTGCCATGAAGGCTGAAAGCCAAAATGGACCACAAATGCTTTATCATTCAGGAGTGTTGAGTTCTGGGAATTCCCAACGTAATATCTGAGGAAGCATACAAACATTTTTGGTTGTGAGCTCTTCTTTGCCTGCAATGTTTATAGTAATTTCTCAATACCAGAAAATGAAACTTTTTACTACCTTTATATCATCTTGCACTCTAAAGAGTGTTTCCCATATCTCTGGAAGTTGATGAACGATGTCATCCAAAGGTCTTCCTCTTAGCAAGTCATTCAGTGCTAAACAGCTGTGGAAAGAGTTTAATTACAATTATTCAGTAATATGAAGTTTCAATAAAATGAAACAAATTCATTTCCCCCAAACATGGATTATTTAGAAATGTGGAAGAACTAACATAACTGCCAGACAGTAATGCCTGTACGCCTAAATTTCTTATGGTAGAATTAATCCCCCTTTTAAAGCTCTCTTTTTAAAAACAAGTTGCAATCTTACAATCATTAGTACTCATAATATATTCTCTATTACTAAGGAAACACTTTAAGTGATCATGTCTTCATCTATCACTAGCCTCAATAGTTTAAGTCAACCTGTTTTAAACAAATCATATTTAACAATAACTACAATGCACTTAGTTCTACAACACAATAAATATTTCCTTGCTCTCGGCCACAGTAGAACTGAAGACTAAACTATGTATGAGCCTGCAAAGGCAAGGCTTATATGCTGTATTTTAGCACAAGTATTTGTATACAATTCCCCTCTAAATTAAATATTATGGGTGATATTCTACAAATGGTACTTTGCAGCAATGTCAAAAATAGTTCCAGAGAGGTAATTATTTAGTACAGCTTATATCGAATTAAATCACATGGTAGAAAACAAACAAAATATATGTGTAATATATTCTTTATAATTAAGCCATTCTGCTAACATGTATGACTTAATTCCAATTATTTGAACAACGAAATTGCAAAATCTGCCACCAAGCTCCAAAATTTACAGCTCACATAACTGACAGAATTACATAAATAACTCCTGAAAACCCAACATATAGAAAAGTATGGCTTTTCAAAACACCAATTATTTTAATTTAAATAATGAACTGAGTTTAAAAATGCATACCTCGACTCTCGAATTCGCCACATATTGCTAGTCAGGTTGCTTATTAAATCATCAAGAATTTCTTTCATGTATTTGTCCACCTGAACCAATAGAAAACAGTTGCAATTATTAAAAGCATTCCCACATCCAAAAAAGTGAAGAAACTGAACATTTATAGTGGTGATTTCCTATAACTCAACAACAAACTACAATGAAACAGGAACTTAATGCAAAAAATTATCTTTAAACCATTTTTCCTGCTTTGTATACATTATCATTCAGAAACAGCTCAAGAAGACATCAAAATGGATAAATTAATTCAGATCATTCTGACATAGTGATTTTCCTATGTGGATTTTGCTCTATGTGCTGAAGAATGTTAACTCTCTATATAAAATCATTCTATCATATACAGCTCAAGAAGACATCAAAATGGATAAATTAATTCAGATCATTCTGACATAGTGATTTTCCTATGTGGATTTTGCTCTATGTGCTGAAGAATGTTAACTCTCTATATCATATACAAAAAAGGAAAAAAAAAACCTACTACCAGTCACGTGTTCTCACACTGTAGTAGTTACATATACATTCACATATATCACATGTTTTCTTTTAGGTAGATAATTAGATAATAAAAGTAGCCTGTTGTGTTTTTGACTGTGATCCTTAATGCAGGCAGGAACTTAGTTCATTAAGACAGGCTTCTTCACATATATTTACTATTTTCTTATAAACAGTGTATATAGGAAGAATATAATATAGGAATGAATGTGTGTGTGTGTGTTAAGTATTATACATACTATATGTATAGGAAATTGTTTTCACTGCGTATTGTATTAATGTTTTGGGAGTGTTTTATCAATAAACAATTATCAGAAATTTTACAAATAAAATATTACACTAATAAATTAAGAATGGGCAGTTGGCCACCACCACTCTCCACTTCTAAACTCCACTTGAATGCATCCTATTGAGTCACCTTGCTAATTTCCAGTACCCAAGAATGATAAATTCTTTAGGTTAAATTGATGTTCTGAACGAGAAAAAACATTTGGTGTATTTTCCTCATCCAAGGAAAAGACATTATTTTTCTCCAACAAGGTTCCCCCTTAGTTTTTTTTTTTTATCTGGGAGAACCTACAGCTAACTTTGTTTGTTGTGACTGCTCAATGAAAAAAAGTGATAAGATTGGGACAGAATTATTCTGCGTTCACTTACAGCGGATTTGTCCGTAACAAGTGCATTCCAAATGCTGGTCATAGCCTGTCGAATCCCAAGATTGGGATCAAACTGGTATCGATAGAGACGAGGAAGCAATTGAGGAAGAAAAGGAGCCAGCTGTTCTCCAGCTTTGGTAGCAATCACATTAAAACCAAAAGCTGCTCCCTGGGAAAGAAAAAAGAAAAAGAAAAATCATTACATGACACTTAGATGTACCATTTATGTTCATTCAGGATTCTGGTAACAGGCAGAAAATATTCAACACTAGCAAAATGAACATTATGTATTTTGTATATGAATCAGCAGCTCTTCTCTATAAGGCTCAGAATTCAGAATAGAAGATACATTCTTTCAAAGTTATCCTGAACATAGATGTGGGGTTTGTTTCTTTGTTTGTTTCTAATGCTCTACCATTCCCACTACATGCAAATACCTTCCGAGAATTCCACATTGCATGATGATTGGCCAAATTCATGAATTTATACACCAAATCTGGCTGGTTGAGGTCACTTGCAAGTGAACAAAGCTCCTGGTAAGTAGAAAGACCCTGGCTTGGGAAAACAGAAACAAATGATTAATGCTATTTCTTACATGTCCTATTTTGCTCAAAAAATCATAAGGGGATACTTAGAGATGGGGGGGGGTGTCAAAATAATATTTAAATATAGATTTAAACAGAATTTGTTATGCAATAATTCAAAGTCCTTTCCCCATTAAAACAGAAAAAAATCCATATTCTGTAACATCAAATAAGCAAACCACTATTTTTCAGAATTAGTACAACCATACATTTGGAAGGGCTTGAGTCTGTGTTCCCTCTTTGTTTTTTGAGGCTTCAGTAAAAATCTAAATGTAAAAGTGGTAAGGCCATCAATTCTCTTTGTTTCACCTTTGCTGCCTCTAGTCCATGCTCAGCTACGAAAGATAGAGGATCACAGTTCCCAACTGTGAGAGATTTGCTGTTTGGACACAATGCAGGTGAGCAAATGTTTTTTTTTATATCTTGGAAGTTCTGGCAAATTGTTCCAGCTAAACGTTGGTTGTGCTGGGTTTCAGCCATAACAAACAGGAACAGGGGCTTTTGTGAAAAGGCTGATGTATTATACTTCTCTAACCTGTTCTCTATTTACCTTAGACACTGGCATGCCTGACAATGTTCTTTTGCTTAACTTCTGCTTAGCTGCCACTATTGATGCCAGCGCTGCAAACATGGTTTATATACAACTGAACTGTTCTTCCCAATCTTCGCAGCACCTTCTATTCTTTATGCTTCCATAGGAAAAAATCGGAGGGACCAGGTTGGTTAAAAATATGCCACACTTGAATTAACAACATCAATGGCAACGGCCCACTTGCCCCTGATCATTTCAGAGCCTTATTTTCCCACCTCTTGTTACTTGCCATAATGGTATCAATATTTCATGATTTTCTCATTCCCCATGGCTCAAGGAATCACTTTGCTAGGACGAACCAAGTGCCTTTTATTATTATTATTATTATTTATTTATTAGACTTATATGCCGCCCTTCTCCCCACAGGACTCAGGGCGGCTCACAGCATATTAAAACAGTACAAAGCACTATCCCCAATAAAAACCAATTAAAAACAAATATTTACCGCTNGCGCGGCGGAAAGCTAGGAGATCCGGAATCGTCCGGATCTCGGGGGTAGTTCGTTCCAGAGGGTGGGGGCACCCACAGAGAAGGCCCTCCCCCTGGGGGTCGCCAGCCGACATTGCTTGGCCGACGGCACCCTGAGGAGGCCCGCTCTGTGGGAGCGTACCGGTCTGTGAGAGGGAATCTGTGGCAGAAGGCGGTCTCGGAGATATCCAATGGCTCCTCATAAAACTGACCTCTAGCCCTTTTTTTTCAGGAACTGGTTTCTGGGGAGAAGCCCAAGCCTTCAATGGGAATGTTTGGAGAGAATAATGGACCAAATTTGACACTGGACAAGAAACTCCAACTGCTACTTTTAAGCACTTCAATGTTTAAAAAGTGGCTTAAATCATGTGGAATTAAGGAAATCTCATGAAATTTTAGGACTGGACTTCTGTGAGATTTGAAAACTTCTCAAAAAAATCTATAAAAAAAAAGCCCAGATATATGCACATATCAAGAATTAATTATAGCAGCTTTGCAGATCACTAGTAATACCTACACCACAGATTGAAATAACACAATGGCTCACAAACAGCATGATTAATCAATGAGCTTACCCATCTGGAGTTTTGCCAAGGCCTGAGCCTTGGAACATCACAGTTTCCCCAGACACTTCATGCTTGACTCTGTAAAGAGAATGTTGTGTTTTATTATACTGTGAAGGAGACTAATTTTATATCTCTATGGGACCAGATTATGCCCTCTTGCAGTAATTCTGCCTCACTTACACATGTCAGATTTACTGTCATTTTTATGCAGATCTACTCTCAAAATCAATTGGAAACGAAGAGGTTACGTTTCTTTACAGAATATTTGCGAATTTTGGAAAAAAACATTTCCACCTGGATCTAGAAACACCACTGCAAATGGACTTTGCATAATAGGAACTCCTCTCTTAAATTTATCGTAATTAGAAATAACTCAACTAATTTTATATTTGTAAAAGGGAAGGAAAAGAGGCTAAATTCAACTGTTCTCTCATATTTAAACAAATGACTGGCAAGGTTTTGCCTACTTAAAAAGACCAAACATATCATCTTACACAGTTGTGTAAGATGAACATATCATCTTACACAGGTGTTACAAGAAACATTAATATAATGTTTATTAATATATGTTTATATTAATATAAACATATCACAGCAGAGATAAAGGGATTTTACCACTTTTTCAAAACCGTTTCACACTATCCTAAGATGCTTTTTGTTCCCTAAAATATTTAGGATACAAGTCCCAAATAGGTTACATCAAAGCATAACATATTCAGATCAAATTATAGATTGCCACATAGGAGGAAAGCAAATACATCTTATAATTTCAGGATTTTAAAAAAAGCACATGTTGATTCATATAATTCATAGGGTATGTGAACAGAATGGTTCAGATCTTCTGAAGCATTCCTCCAAACTTGCTTTGTATTTAAGCTCACTTACTTTTAACCTTCTATTTTATTATTCCCTGCCTCCTGATACATATTCCATCATTTAGGTTCTCTAAAACAGGGGTCCCCAACCCTGGGTCCATGGACTGGTACTGGGCTGCGGCATGCCAGCAACTGGTCTGCACAAACAAGCAAAGCCCCATCCACGGGATGCAGGCAGCACACAAAACCACACCCCCTCCAATCCGTGGAAAATCCTCTCTCCACGGAACCGGTCCCTGGTGCCCAAAAGGTTGGGGACCTCTGCTCTAAAATACCTTTTCCCAGTCATAAGCGTTTCAACAAGTGTAGTAACTAGTTCCTGTTGATCTTGTTCATTTCCAAGCTCATACACCAAGCCAAGACCTTTGGAAGCCACATCTTGACTGAGTTCTATAAGAAATAGAAAGCAAATTAAATCTTACTAGGCTGATTTGCTATATCTGTATGTGGGTCTCCATGCCCAAACATTAACCAGTGCAATACCAGTTCAATCACATTTACCCACTCAAAATTATATAAATATCTCAAACACATAGCAATAATAGAATTCCTAAAACCAAGGCAAGAAATGTTAATGCTGGAAAGCCATCTTCTCAGGAAAGAATAACAAGCAGTTTCCTCTCAAGACTCTCAAATCACAACATGGAAGTAATTCTCAGTCAGACTGAAAATGTCTGAAATCACAGACAGCTCAGTGCTCTGGAAGTTCTTATTTGAGAGAAAAGTAGTTGCACTTGAAATGCCTAAATGATTAAATGATAACAAACAAAAACTCTCAACTATATTTCAGATTTTGCTATATTAATCAGTAGTACTATAAAGCCCTATAGCACAGTGGTTCTCAACCTTTTTAATGCCGCGACCCCAACCGGTCGTAAGTCGAGGACTAAACTGGTCGTAAGTCAAGGACTAAACCGGTTGTAAGTCGAGGACTACCCAACCGGTCGTAAGTCGAGGACTTTCCCTGCCCGGGAGCGCCGCGCATGCGTGGTTCCGCCCCCTGCGCTGGCCGAGGCGTAGCTGGCAAGCGGCAGAGACGGAGCAGGCCGACCACCAGCTGGCCCAGCCCAAGGGAGGTAAGGCACTCGCCGGAAAAGGCGAAAAAAATGGCGGACAGCCTTGCTTGGCGACCCCCATGAAATGGTCGATTGACCCCAAATGGGGTCCTGACCCACAGGTTGAGAACCACTGCCCTATAGCATATACATTGGTTTCAATCCCCACTAAGACTAGAATTCAGATCAAATAGAAATCACTGCAGAACGTCTTGGCATTGATTTTTTAAATCAACCTGTCAATAGTTGTCAATATGTTTTTTCCTCCCAGATTAATTTTACAAAGGTTAAGAATTATACTGAAAGCCACCATTTATTCAGAACCTACAATTTGGTTCCTTTCTTTATTAATACTACCAAATCTTTGTTTTCTTGGTGGCATTCAGCAACAGCAACATATTTCATGTTTATATGCAGGTACAGGATCAAGTTCATATTTACTTTTTGTAAAATAACCTTTTACTTGGAAAAACCGTATGTGGGATTTTTTTTTTAAAAAAAATCACAACTAGATTATATTTTTGATTTAAATAATAATACTATGCATTGGTATTACATGTTTTCAATGTCAAATTTCAGAATTTTTCAAGCAAGTTACAATTTAAATAATAACATCTCTGTACTGAAAGATTTTTTTTCTACATCTGTAAGCTTAACTGCTTGTGTTTCTAGTAAGATTCGCATTTTTAATCAATGAACAAAATTATGCAGGCACGATCCTACTTACCATCACCGTCAGACAAAATAGATACAAATGCAGTTTGAATGTTCTTGAGATGTGACTATGAAAGAAAAAAGAGGGATTTACCTTATACCTATTACTTGAAACCCAATTTCAAAATCTCACCAATAAGAATAATTTGCCCTTTTTCTGGCTCGCTCTGTGAGCAGAAAAAAACAACATTTGGTGCAAAACTTCTGATGGTTTCTTCTTGAAAGGAATGCAATCTATGACAGATTGTCAGTTTTTGTTACCCCCTGTAGAAGGATGTGGTAACCCTTTGAAATATGATTATGGGTCAGAACATGCAGATTTTTTCCAAGCTAATACAGGAATAATGCAACTCACTGTCAGAACAATACAATAAAGTGTGAGACTCAAAACAAATTCCTTCTACTTTTCTATGAGTTTGGGAAAAACCAGCACGCCGTTAATGGACCTGTATCCATTTTGTCCAGCAAGTGCATTTTCAAAAGAAGTAGAAAAATGAGAATTCAGAAACAGGCAAACAAGAGGACAAAGGAATGCACGATGAAATCACAGAAGGTCAACTAAATCAGATTCCCCTCCCCGCAACCTCAAAAAGGAGAATGGGACATAGTTTTTTCTTCCTACCTTAATTTCTTTGTGGGCACTCAGCTTCTTCACCAGTGATAAAAGCCAAATACAGGATGCTTGTCTTATGTGAGGGTTGGGACTTATGATATGCTTATTCAAAATGACGTCCAGGACCCAGGGAACCACATCATTAATCTTCATATCTGTTACATTTAAACCATTGCAAAGAGGAACTTAAGTATAATGCAAGAAAAAGGATTTGGAAAACAGAGCCTCGGTAGCAATGTTTTAACTTTAAATATTCATGGTTCTGCCTATAAATATTCTACATATAAATTCTGGACTTCTGTCTAGTTTCAGGTACTTTCATGTACACTTGTGCTTACCAAAAGATGCAACGTTTTTACAGTTTACGGTGATATACAAATAAGGACTATGCGGATTATTTTGTCATATTTTCTTTTTCTCTCTTTTTAGTCAGTCTTTCCAATGTTTCCCAAAACAATCCAGTACAGTGCCTATTATATTAGATTTTACAAGAGGCATAAATGACAGGATTTGTTTTTAATCATACAAACAAAATAGTTTCAAGCCTGACAGATAGAATAGAAAAGCTGGTGCTGTTATTAACCTTTTAGTGTACTTGTTTTAATATTTGTGTTAACTAATTTCAAAACCTGTTTACTTGAAAAAAAAAGTATATAAATATTTAACATGAAGGGATGAAAAACATTACCAACCTGCCCTTGGATATAAAATGTGCTTTTGCCTTCTAAGTCATTACAGAGATTAGATTAGTTTTGGAACTTAGGCTGTAGTTTGGCTGAGTATCTTCTATTATCACTCATAAGCACAAAGCTAATGGTAGGTGTAAAAGTTATACTGAAGCAGGTTCCATGTTAAGTGACTTTTCAAACTCCAGAATAAAAATGGAAACAAAGTTTTAATAGAAATCTGTCATTCTGGGTTTGTTCAAAAACAGAAGCTTTTTTTTCTTATAAACCATGAACTAAAATCAGTCTCTGAAATATATTGTTAGATATTCTATGCCCAAACCTACCAAGAGGAGCAGTATACTCTTCTTCAGCTACTATCCATGCATCACGGGCAGCTACAGAACTGGTCCCTATTGCAGCACTGGTAATAGCTTCACCAACTGTAAACTGTAATTCAATTTGCTTGGCCTGAGAAACACACAATAAAACAACATTAAATTTCAGTTCGCTCACTATCGAAACCAGCTGTATTTTCTAGGCAAGAAACCTGCTGCACTTATTACAAGAAAGAAGATTATAGTATACTTTATTACAGATTCTACAATGGAATTTTCAGCAGATGTCAAAAATCATTCTTGCATTTAAATCAAAATTATTTCAAGTCTATTTCCAAACTAAAAGTTGAAAGGTATTGTGCTATTTATTTTCAGCCATCATGACCACAGGGACACTCCAAAGCCGCAAAATTCCCCAGGCATTCAGGCAAGCAAGTTAGGCTAGCCTTGTTGATGTTTTTTGATGATTGGATCATTTAATCAGGGCATCGTGGGTTAGTGGTTTTAATTCTGGTTTTTAGCCAGAGTATGTTGGCCAGAGTCACTGTTGTGAGAAGGGCGGCCATATAAATTATTTAAATGAATAAACTAAAAGGGCCACTGCTTTCAATTTTAACCAAGGGTCCTTGGATGCCAATTCCACCCATCCATCCCCACCCGTTTTAAATGGGAGGAAAGACATATGGGAACAAAACTCTGCAGTATAAAGGAGGAAATCATTTCAATGATTACAAAGGAACTGACTGATCAATTCTTGGAAAGGACACACAAGGCCTAGACATTTTTTATTCTGCCTATCAACAAATATAGAAGCACAGAAGGGCAAGGTTCAACAAAAACTTGTCCAAAGTAACAATGCCACCTCACTGTAGTAGCAGGGGTCTTCAAACTTGTCCCTTTTACGACTTGTGGACTTCAACTCCCAGAATTCCTCAGCCAGGCATGCTGGCTGAGGAATTCTGGGAGTTGAAGTCCACAAGTCGTAAAAGGGACAAGTTTGAAGACCCCTGCTGTAAAGCAACCATGAAGAATAATTATGCACTGGATGGCATTAGTGTTGTTTTCCTAAATCTGAAAGGTGTTTTTTTTTTCAACATTTAGAAACATTTATAACAGGAAAAAATAATGGAACAAAAGAATTAAGGAAACTGGCATGAATTAATAAAAGCAACCCTTTCTTCAAATATATATTCCAAGAGTACAATTAAATAATTACCTCTACAGAATCCATTAATCCTTGCAAGAGTAGCTTCTGATGAGGAAAATCTCCATCCCCTACTGGAAAGTAACCCAGTGTTTGAATAGCTCTTTCTTTCATCTTAAAAATGAGGCCGGGGGGGGGGGGGAGAAGGAAGAATGAGAAAGAGAGTTATTTTAAAATCTGCTAAATTAAAATGGGGAAACCGAAACACTTTCCGCATCAGGAAAACACCCAGATGAGCATAAAATAATACCAAGATTAACACCAGAGCAACAATCAAGAAGCAAACAATATTCCAGTCAACGAACTGCCAAACAAGCTAACAGTAAACAGCCCAACCAAAGAACCCCCAAGACCGCTCCCACCAACACTGGCAAGCCATTAGAATACGAAGTGGCTTTAAATTCTTTTCTGGCACTGATGATGTTACCCAGTTTGGACAAGAAAACATCTACAAGAAAACAACCGCGCTCAAAGACCTTTTAATCAGGAGAGAATTGTAACGATTTTGCAAAACGTTACCTTATTGCTTTCTTTGCCAGAGGGAATTCTGGCCAGTAAACTTTCAACAAGATGGAGTTTTGTAAATCCACTGCCTTCGTTGGGGATGGGCAAAGGCGCATTCCTGCCAATTTCTCCCAGTGCTGTACATGCAGCTATGGCTAGGAGTGGCGATGTACTATCCAAAAAGGAACCTAGTAAAGGTAGAAAAGATTACTTGGTATTTTTCCTTTAAAATCGTATCCCGAAGGAACAGCCTCTAAGATGGTCTCAGCCCGTAAGTGGGTCTTCTCCTACCGACAAAAGAAAGGAAGAAGCAGCAGCCCCCCCCCCGCCGCCCCTATTTCTACAACCTCTACCACTACTTTTCCCATCATTCTGCAGGGCCCCCAACATTTCAGAGCAGATTTTCAGGAAGAATACAGGATTGGGAACGAAAAGCGGCTAAAGACTGCTTCTTCTCCCCACTCTATCATCAGGTAAATGAAATACTGGCAGCAGGCTTATGCTGGATCCAACCTACTGATTCAATATCTAAAAGACTCCCAGGATTTACAGAATTATACACATCTGGTTCAAGTATCATGATGATATTACAATGAAAATTGCTACAGGCAATGAAATAGCTTGGCTCAGTCACAATGGTAAACCAGAACACGATTTATTGATGAGCAGCACGCTGTTTGACTTCATCATCGGGGTTACCTGTGAACTGGACTACTTGTCAACCAAATTATAGTTCAAAATAGCTTAAAGTATCATTTAAAAGCTTTGCGTTATTACTATAAATTATCGTCACCATCACCATAAACATTACTCCTATGGTAATGAAAAATCTTTTTTAGCTAGTACTTGGTTTTGTTTGTATCCCTTTTACAGGTAGTCCTCGACTTACGATCACCATTGAGCACAAAATTTCTGTTGCTAAGCGAGACAGTTAAGTGAATTTTGCCCCATTTTATGACTTCCTTGCCTCAGTTGTTAAGCAAATCACTGCAGTTGTTAAGTGAATCTGGCTTCCGCACTGACTCTGCTTGTCAGAAGATTGCAAAAGGGAACCACATGACCCCGGGACGCTGCAATCGTCATAAATATGAGTCAGTTGACAAGCGTCTGAATTTTAATCACATGACCATGGGGACGATGAAATGGTTGTAAGTGTGAAAAACGGTTATAAGTCTCTTTTTTCAGTGCTGTTATAACTTAGAAAGGTCACTAAATGAACTGTTGTAGGTCAAGGACTACCTGTATAATTTTTACAAATAACCCAAGGTGGGAAACATATCCAACACACCTTCTTCCTCCTACTTTCCCCACAACAACAACCCTGTAAGGTCAGCTGGGCAGAGAGTGACTGGCCCAAGGTCACCCAGCTGGTTTCATGGCTAAGGCAGGAGTTGAACTCATGGTCTCTTGTTTCTAGCCTGAAGCCTTTACCAGGCCAAACTTAAACAGTAAATAACTTTTGCATTCATCTGAACACCTGCCTCAAGTGGGAGAAGCGTATTTTTCAATGAAAATGAATATTCCCAGAAATTTCCAGCATTTATAACATTTGTACCAAGAAAAAAATAAGACAAATAAAATATGCCACATCCTACAGAGAAACATATCTGAGTACAGTTCAAGATTATTACATATAAAATCTCAAAGATACTTTATTCTAATAGGCATAATCCTAGATCATTTTCATTTTTCTATTCAGTCACACTACATTTTATCTCACTTTTCATTATCATTTGATAGAATCTTCAGCACTAATTAAATAGCAGCCCCTTAACTGGTTTTATCTGTCAGAGGCTCATGCTCAGATAATATTAATCTATTTTAATGCCAAGTACATTACTTGCAACTAGATAAATCTGTTTTCAAATGATTTGTGAATCAAATACATCATTAAACAATGAAATGAGATGAGTTTGAGATTACTATTATGTTATATGAGTTTTATGACAAAGACCTCAAGTAGAAATAGGTAAAGCAGCACAATGGGCCAAAAGTGATTTAATTTTTCAAAACCAAAGTGAACAAAATGGGCCAAGAACGCAGAGAAAATGCAAATACGCAGACTGACCTATAGTTTCTGTTGTTGATTTTATCATCTGGTCTTGTTCTGGTGCTACAATGGTATTTGGGTCTTCTATACCATGCAGTTCTACTATTTTCATTTTTCTTTTTGACAAATACCGTCCTACTGTGAATCCCAGAGCCAGTAATGATCCATGTTGCATTTCCAGATTCTGTAGTGAAAAGAATGACAATCAAAAAACAAATTTGCAATTCATTAAGTCATATATATTAATGTCTTTAAAACATTATGAGCAGCCTTCTTATATTTAAAGATAATGTGAGCTTTAATAGCCTAAACATTAAAAGACTATATCTCTGCATATTGATTTTTAGTTGATTATTTTTCCCTCTACTTATAAATAATGGATGCTATATAGCTTCTTAGAAAAATCAATCCTTTCGTTCTTATAAAGGTGAATTTTTTTTCTAACCTACGACAGACATGTCAAACTTGCGACGTCACGTGACATATCGGAACTTTTTCCCCATTGCCGGCAATGGGGTGGGAGCAGTTTCCTCATGACATGTCCGGCCCATGGGCCAGCAGTTTGACACCCCTGTACTATGACATATATGCGCTAAATAAAAGCACAGATTTTTTCCCTCAGACAAGGACTTTACGTTATATACAACTATATTTGAATTGAATCACTCTTTTATTTAACTAAATAAAAATTCTTTTAGCTGGCTAACAGTATAATAACTGCAATGGCAAAATTTCAGCTAGCCTTAATGGAGCTATAATTTTATTTCTTAGTAAAAAGAGAGCATTAACTAATATAGGTTGAATATTCCATGCTGCAGTTCATGTATCTTGGAATAAGATCCACTCAATTTACATAGATATATATTTTAGGAGAAATATATAGGATTGCACTGTAAATATGTTTCAATGAATCACAAGAAAAATATATAGGCAGTGAACTGTAAATCAAACAATGTATCATAGTATTTGCCAATGTCTTTCTCAACAAACCTTCCCTATTAAACAATTAAGCAATAAGTATATTTTTAAATATTTGAACATTTATTTAAATAGTTTAAAAATAAATGTCCATATTTTTAGTTATAACTCTTTTAGTTATAGCTCTTACTCTCTGTTTTCTGATATTCATAAAAAACTCCTCACTTTTAACTGAGTTCAATATTCCTTAAACAGAAAAGGACATTTAAGATATATAATAATACTATTATACTTTCATTCATAAAAGTGGTGTGAGGTAAAAACAAAAATATTACATGATTGTCCTTTGCTGTTTTTATCAGGTGCTGAACAGATGTTTTGAATTCATTTTCTGACACTGTGGAAAGTACAACTGAATAAAATAGAGCAGCCAATTCCCGCATTTCTTCTTTATTAGTATTCATAAGGTTCTGAAAACAATATAAAGGAATACAATATGTTAAAAATAGACAATGCTCTACTAGCATTTAAATAATAAAAAGACTGATCCAATTAACCCCGGGTTCTCTGTGGGTAATGGCTAAATAGCATCTTCTCCAAAGAATATTTAACTGAAGGAGAATAACGATATTGAGAATTCTTCATTGGTCTTGCTTTTCAACACCAATAGCAAGAGCACTTAAGACTTATATACCACTTCACAGTGCTTTAAAGCCCTCTCTAAGCAGTTTACAGAATCAGCATATTGCCCCCAACAATCTGGGTCCTCATTTTACCGACTTCAGAAGGACGGAAGGCTGAGTCAACCTTGAGTAGGTCAGGATCGAACTCCTGGCAGCGAGCAGTGAATTAGTCTGCAATACTGCATTCTAGCCACTGCGCAACCACAGCTCTTTCCATTACTATGTGCAATGCAATAAAACTAAAGACTAGGGACAGGCACTCAAATATTCATTACAAAACCATAGTCTATTAATTATCACATTATTTTTAGGTGCTTTAATAGAAATTCTGACTAATTTTGCCCCTGAATCTTTATTTCAGATAATGACATTCTTAATAGAAGTTGTGATAAGCTATTTTCCCGTCACTGAATTTTTCTTTAAAATCTTATTATAAATATCCCTATGAGTTATCTATCATTTAATTCAGTATGTGGGTAACAAAGATGCCATATTGGCTTCCATGAAATTACTTTTAACAGATCAGGAACTATTGAGAAATATACTTTTAATATTATCACAATCATTCCTTTCTTGGGTGTGGGGAAAAAAATCTGGAATGAAATACAAAATTTTGCAATAAAATAATCTCTTTCTTTAACATACCTTTATCCAATCCATCTTGTCTATAAATCTTGCAGCTAGCTTTTCAGGATAGACTGAAACAACTTCCAGCAAACAGTACATGACTGGCAAACCTACATTTTTTAAAAAGGTTCTCAAATTATTAAAATGACCAAAATTTGAATAGAAACTATTGTACTCTGCATAAATGAATTTGGTAATGAAATCACCACGGAATGCGAACTTTGCTAAATAAAATCACCATGCATACAAATATAATTTATTGTCTTCATAATAGGCATGCCGAATTATTCAAAAATATTTACACTGTAACCTAATACTATGACTAGATACATTTTGCACTCAGACACTGCATGTACCTCATAGTTGATGTGATGCAGACAATAATAAGAGTTGTCTTGCAAAGCTGTCTCCGGATTAGAGAACCATCTTGCACAGAACTGCATGAGTATGCTTGGGGTAAAACTAACCACTGCTGCACTTACAGTATACTTGTAAAAAAAATACCTAAATTTATAGGTAGAGACTTTATTTGCAGCAGGAAATGCTATATGTGGCATAGTTACAACTAAAGCTAGTGACACAACCTATATCCTCTATCTTACTTTGCTCAATTGGCCAAAGCTAGAAATAGATGTTAAGAGATCAGTATTTAAGGAATCATGTACTGAGTGGGTTCTTTTTTTGATGTTAAGTTTCTTTTGTTATTTCCTACTATTTTCCCCTGCATTCTGAATAATGTTGCTGAAAGGGAGTTACTTAATGGGTTTCTGTATACGAATGTCAAACTATATGGTAACATTTTTTCTGGCCAAAGAAACCTGCATCTCAAAAGCATCATCTCATCAAGAAACTTGAGAATTCAAATAAGAGATGAAGACATTCAACAATGAAATCCAGGATTCTCTACTAAATATTTTAACAATATTCAACATGTTAATATTGGAATATATATTTGAACCATACTGAGCTATACAGATAGTCCTCGACTTACAGCCATTTGTTTAGAGACCATTCAAAATTACAACAGGATTGAAAAAAAATGACTTATGACCAGTTTCAAGGCACATACGACTATCACAGCATCCCCACACTCTTATGATCAAAATTTAGTTACTTGGCAACTAACACATACTGTATGTACAATGGTTGCAGCATCCCAGAGTCATGTGATCACCTTACCATCTGGGTTCTGACAAGCAAAGTCAATGGGAGAAACTGGATTTGCTTAACAACCTTGTGATTCGTTTAACAACTGCATTGATTTGTGTAACAATTGTGGCAAAAAAAGCTCATAAAATCAGGCACGACTCACTTAACAACCGCCTTGCTTAGCAATGGAAATTCTGGTCCAATTGTGGTCGTAAGTCGAGGATTAGCTGTACAACATATGTTGACCGGCACAGCAATCAGCTGAAACATCATGCATGCATAGTATTTTGTTAATAAATGTTATGACATAGGGATGCAACAAAAACTTGTGTACTATTGTGGAATTTCAAGGCCACAACACATTCTATGTTACTAACATTTTGGATGCACTAGAAAAATCATTCCTGAAAAAAAAAAAAAGCTACTGTAGCCAATCCAAGCTCATCATTCATAACACACACTTCAGTTCAGGCAACGAGAATGAAACACATTCCAAGACTAAGTGGCGCGCCCATCTATATAGCCCACAACATCTCAAAGACAAATTTATTTGATTTTGAGATTGACTGTTTTATAATAAATCTCTTATAATTGCTTGAAAATGGACAGATTGTAAGCATTTAATACTTTACAAACATTAAAAAAACTGGAGAAAGGCCAGTTTGGATACTTTTTTCCCCCCCAAACCTTAAAATGAGACAAAAGCCTAAATGCAACTCAAAACTTAAGTAATACGATATAAACCCACACTCTCAATGACTCACCCACGCAGAACCCAAAAGCAGGGAAGATGGAAGAATGAGTGGCGCAGCTGCCAAAATCTCGCGATACTGGAAGTGATGCCACTTCCGGTGTCGCTGTGATAAGAGGAAGTGATAGTAAGACAGGGATGGGAAAAGCCTAGAATGCTGGAATCAATGAAAGACATGCCAAAGAGTGGAAATAGAAATATATAGCCAGGAATGCAAGATTAGAAAACCTGCACTTTTTTTTCCCAGTTATCTTTAGCAAATTAATCTCTGAAAATTAGTTAGCCACTTCCTTTCTAGTTTTTCGTTCCTCTCCACACTCCCCAGTCAGAAGATGAAATTATTATCTAGTATCTTGAATTAGTATACGGTTAAGGTAATGAGAAAGATCAGTTAAGGTAAGGTAGAACTGGTGGCAATGGTCTAAAATTTAAGGCACCTATTTTTAAAAGGATTGGGAGAAAAAACAAAGTTTAGGTCTAACAAGGATTATGCCACTTGACATCTGCACAGAACCTCTATATACAGAGCTAGTATGTAGTTGGGAAAGTACAACTGAGCAGGGGGCTGGACTAGAAGACCCCCAAGGTCCCTTCCAGCTCTATTCTATTCTACAATACTTTTATGCCTGGTTTGAGAACAGTCAGATCTGACTAGCTAATGAGAACAGAATTCTAAGCCAGCTAAAGCTTGGCTTAGTTCTCATGCAGGATGGACAGTCTTTCTCTGCCAAAAATTATACTTCCCCTTAGGCCACTGGAATACAAAATTGGTTTTTTAAAAAAATGTAATAAAATCACTCTCTCAAAATTATGTAATTTTCAACACAATGGGCTTGCCAAAAATATACTCACTGAACAAATAGCCATACTTTTTAGTACTTCTAAAACTGGAACCACTGAGGCTTCAAAGTATCAGCTGATAAAAGACAGGTTGCTTTGGCCTAATTTATTGCATTAAAACGGAACTTACATTTCTAGGAAGTGAATCTGCTTCACACTAACAAAATAACCAATAATGGATGCTGAATTCAACTTTCGAAGCAGCATATTTTTCATTCATGATAAAGGCAGTAAAACATTTTTTTTTAGCTTTGTGACCTGTGAGTTCTCACCTCCAACACCAGAGAGCAACTGCTGAAGGAGACTTATATAAATCTGTACAGGATTGCTTTCCCCTCCCTTTGAGGATGAGGATGTTATAACATTTCCAGAGAGGAGGTTTCTTATATAACGGCCAATGGCTGGAGCGTGATCTTGCATATCAGCTAAGCTCTGAGAAGTAGGCACCACACCAGCACTGTGAGCAAGACACATCCGGAGATACAGCACTATCTAAGCAAAGCAGAAAAAAATATATAAAGGTTAACCAGCTTTCCCTTACAGAATAAACAACTGTAGTTTTTTTTTCAGCCATGAATCACAGTACAATAATCGCATCTATTGTGTTACTGAGATTTAAAATGCCCAAAGAATGTCGCTGTCTCATTCATTACTTGGTTCTGTTAGGACAAATCAACCAAAGTATCCCAAGTTAAGGAAGTTAAGGTTGACAGTTAACTTGCCTATAAATATGTCATATTCTGAACTAAGCTCTCTGCCACACTATATCCAGGGTACCTAAACTCGATGCCCTATGCCAAGCCTATTTATTAAAAAAAAAAAGATTTTTAAAATAAACACCTAAAATAAAACAGTAGTCAGTACGCTGCAAAATAAACTACCTCAAAAAATATTATTTCCATGAATGCTTTTGGACTTTATAAGCCTATTTGGAATAAAATGATAAATAATAGTAGCTCAAGATATTTCACCTGCCCTGAAAAAAAAAAAGATCAAATAGAACATCTAGGGCAGGGGTAGGCAACCTCGGCTCTTTTATGACTCATGGACTTCAACTCCCAGAATTCCTGAGTCAGCATAGCTGACTCAGGAATTCTGGGAGTTGAAGTCCATGACTCATAAAAGAGCCGAGGTTGCCTACCCCTGATCTAGGGGGTTTAAGAGGTGGGCTATCACCCTCCCCCATCCCCGAGTTTGTTTCCTACCAAATGAACGGGTTTTTTAGCAATAGCACTTAGACTTATACACCGCTTCACAGTGCTTTACAGCCTTCTCTAAGCAGTTTACAGAGTCAGCATATTGCCCCCAACAATCTGGGTCCTCATTTTACCGACCTCAGAAGGATGGAAGGCTGAGCCAACCTTGAGCCGATAAGAATCAAACAGCTGGCAGTCGGCAGAGTTAGCCTGCAATACTGCATTCTAACCACTGCATCACCAGGGCTCCGGTTTGGGGTCTGCCAGCTATTTTCAAAGAGTGCACATAACTTATTCTTAAACTTACAAATGAAATATGCATTATTCTGCTTGAAGTTACTGCTGCAAAACCTGGCCTAGTCTGCAGGAGAAAATCTATTAAAGAGACGATTGAAGAGTTAAACTTTGCTGTCTCATTTATTTCTTTGGGAATGTAATAACTCTATGAGCAAATCTGTTTTAGTGGAAGAATTTTAAAATTCTTAAACTAGATTTATCACGCCTGATGTTACATATATACTACTACAGTTTCACAAGGGAAAAGAACAAAGCATATAAATACTGGGTGCAGAAAGTTTCTTACTATCAGTTTTCTTCCCATTTTTAAATAAATGTCTAAGGAAAAGGCATCATTTTTTTTCTTCATGACCACATTTTAAATTTATTTATTTATTAGGCATTGGAAGAAAGCAGAGGGCATGGCTGATAACGTTTGAGGTTTCAGTTTTGTTTTGTGGTCATTTTTAAAATACTTTTTTTTTGAGGGGGGAGGGTACCTTCTAAATAGGGTTGATTTCAGGTGACTACATGGATTAGCCCCTGCAGTTTTCTTGTTAGGATTTTAAAAAGTGGTTTACCAATGCCTTTTTCCTAGTGCTGAGAAAGAATGACTGGCCCAAGGACTAGTTTCATGCCTCAGACAGGATTAGAACTCATGGTTTCTAGCCCGATGGCTTAATCATTACAATAAAATGGCTCTCCTAAAATAAATCGGTATATTAAATTTACCATGGAGTTGACACTTTTTTTTGGCTTATTGTGCAAAAAAGAGGAAAAAATAATGTCCCATTTTCTCACTGAATATTAGGAGCAACTTGCAGAGGGGCTGGAAAAATGGGGAAATGACGTAAAACTAATCAGCAAAAAGCTGAATAAGGACCAAACAAATGCATAAAAATCCCTAAGAGATCAGGATAGTCACTAAAGTCTTGGGTAAAAGGATTCTTTGCTGGCTCACAGAACTACTAGCAATTTGCTCATCCGTTGAAAGATAGCTTTGTGTAAAAAAAATGTGTCACTGGCAAAATCTGTCTCCTCACTCATAACCCCCCAACAGCCTAACAAAACCTCTGATATATAAATTTCAAGTACCGTATGTGCTTGTGTAGAAATACTATTTCTAGAAGGCACAATATATACAGAAGAGAATTTTGCTTTTTAAAAAAATAGGAATTTCCCTGATTTGTAACTGAGATGCATACCTCTCCAAAAGTTGCTGGGTTGAAAGGCATTACTGTTGTTCCGGTCATGTATTTAGCAGGAGTTTTCATTCGGTGAGAGGCCTAAAATAAAGTATTTATGTATTTAACAGAACATGGTGGTTATTCCCCAAATGTTTTGCGCCCTAAAGACATGGCTCTTCCAACAAGCGGGATTGGCCTAGGGAATTTTAGTGGGGTTTTTAAGAGAAATTTTAATTATATAGGCCATAACAAATATTTCTTTTTAATTCGGTTTTAAATTAGGTATTTATTGTAGCATTGGTTTTATAAGGCTGTCAGCCGCCCTGAGTCCGGTAAGGAGAAGGGCGGGATATAA